CCTGAGCCATTTAGACTTAGGATTGTTTCTTGTAGCAGCCTGTGACTTCAACAGTTGACAATAAACGGTTAATATGATAATGACTAACACGCTGAATACTTTTTAGAGGGGGGACAAGGAATTGTTAGTAATATAGATTAGTAGCCCCATTAACGATACATCCTGTGAGGTCAAGCTCCCCGCATTTCCCCCTGGAAACCATCGTCCTCAGTTCCAAGTGAATTCATCACGATGGTCTAACTGATTTCTCTTTTAATTCCCACCTATCATGCCTCACTGGTACCCCGTCAGCTTATACTGTTAGCGCAGATGGGATTACCATTCCATAATCATCCATTAAAAAAAAATACAGTTTAGAAATTGAATAAAATTGGTAATAAGCGTAAACTACTTTCTACCTAATTTAGTTACGTGCGATCTTACACTCGTAATATTCTCTAACAAATATCAGTTTTATAATAATTTCTATAAAACGTTTCAGTTTAACCACCAATGTATGGCATTAGCTTGAGGCCAATACTAATGTAGATCTACTTAAACCTAATGCTGCTTGTATACGTGTAGAGCACAACATAACAGTATTCCTAGTTACGTGACTGAGCTAAAAATCTTTTTATCCGTTGCTACCTGTCTCTGCTTTATTAAGTTCGCTATGAATGTGAACCTTGTGTGTACAAAGATAAGAATTTCGTAAGGTTACGCTCTTAAGTACACATGCTTAATCTGTAATGTAATAATGTGAGATTACTGCCGGTTGTGCATCTTGCACGTGAGCATCTGTCGCCCTTCCGTCTAGGAAGTACTTCATCAGACGGCTTTTATACAATTTGTAAACTGCGCCTCAATTGAGTTTTGTACACTGATTATTTGTATCCTCTAATTACTTTTATTATTAAGGTTTATGTTGTACTTTTAATATTAGTAGTTTTTATATAAATATTGTATGTTTTAACTGAATCACGAGACTAACTATATTTCTAGATTTAAATAATTTTGTTAAAATTGAATTTAACCTGTGAATATTATTAATATAATTTTTAGAATAAGGCGATCAACCTTCAATCCTGATGACTTGATGATTCCTTAATATAAAACTAATACGGGTGTTAATTTCGTTTAAAACAGAATAATCAAAATCAAATCAAAATTGCCAAAATAATGTAATAAACACTAAAAAATGTAGTCGAACCTTCTTTTGGTTATACAACAATGTAAATCTGATCTGTAAAAGCTTAATACCCATGGACAATGGTCGAAACAAAACACTGGCTAATTTTCGCAGCATCGTTCTCCTGACATCTGCTGAGGAGTCAGAACCAGTTAGAGCCACCTGCCCGTCAGACGCCAAAAAACATAAACGAAAAACACCACGAATCGCAAACCACCAGGTGAATCCCCATAATGATATAGTTGTGCGATAAGCCGGAACTTTGCCTTAAAACATTATCTCTTTTGTTTTATATTTCTTGTACTAAGGCTAATTGCACCTCGCGAACTCCTCTATAATATAGCAATTACACTTTCTTAAATTTTATCACGTGTAAAATTAAAAGTGCAAGATCTGTTTAATTTTTTTTTACTGGAAACTAATATAGGTACGGGTGAAATACTAAGCTAGAAATTATAATTCTAAAAATACCTACATTATAAACTTCAATATGTGGTTTAGGCATTTTATCAAAGGAAGACTGTACAAAAGTTGCCTGCTTGGGTTCCTCTGTCCCATTTGTGTTTTTGCTGTCAAGCAGTTATTTTTATAACACAGAGGTAAACGAACATGCGGCTCACATGATGGTAACTCACTACCGCCGTCCATGGGCACCCACAACACCAGAGGCATTGCAGATGTACTGTTGGCTTTTTAAAAAAGGAATATGCTCTTTTCTTGGAGTTGAGTTTGCATGACTGTGTTTCGGTTTGAAAGATGGGATATGGCAATAAAATTTTGGAGTACAGAGACATAATATCTTAGTCCTCAAGTATGGCAACGCATGAAGGGTATCATGGGCGACGCAGTACATTCTGTTATCTCCATGATACTATTCCTATCTATAACTGACGAGTAATATTCACCATCAGGTGAGCCGTCAGCTTGTTTGCCATTCGAAGTTGTATAAAATAAGAATCAAATAACTATTAAAGCTTTTTTTGTAATTCGCCGCTGCAACCGGAGATACTGGAATACGCGCGGGTAAAACCACGGAATTTCTTTTTAATATATAATATAAAGTATTTATTTATGTTACACATTAATATTTTCGGACTGGTTCTCTAAAAAGTTTTTATTATAAAATAAACGATCTGTGGGCGGGATTAACAGGAAATGTGTTGGCGTTGCGCGGTCATTATGTGCAACCGATAGATGTCTCACCTACGTCCAAGTCCGAGTGATATTGACATCATCGTTAACGACACAAGTTCCACCAACACTACTTGTTATAATGTTATCGAACTACAATCATTGTTTGTTATTATCTATGTCCGCAATTTTATCTTTGATATATTAACATTATGTTTTTATTAATATTACTATCATCGTGTGGTCCCGGCATATAATGGGCCACCCCTTGGGTGTCGTAAGAGGCGACTAAGGGAACATAATGACAGAGGAATGGGCAGCAGCGCTATTGGCAAAACCCCTTTTTATGCGGGACAAAAATATGCGATGTTTGACAGTGGACAGTTATATAATATTGACGGCTGATATAATAATAAAAAATAATAATATATCTATGTTTGATTTAGAAGTAAGTGGAGAAACAGATGATTGTGGATAGCGCATTTATTTATTCCTAAATACAATATATACCTTACCAGAGTTTACTTTTGTTCAAAAGTGGTGTGATCGGCAACTTCTATACTACTCGCGTTTCTACCATTGGCTGTGTTTTGTTTTGAAGAGTAGGATATGGCAGTAAAATTACAGTTTACGTAAGTATAACATCACAGTACACAGGAATAGCAAACCATGAGGGGTACGACGCGATGTCCATGTCGCCTCTATAATTGACGGTTACCGCTTTCCATCACGTGGGCAGTGAGCTTGATCACCATTCTGTTGCATAAAAAACATTACACTTTTCCATTATCCTACTAATTTTGTACGAGTGTTTGATGCTTAATTATAAATGTAATAATATTTTAAGGCCATTATCCATTTATAATAGAAGAATAACAGAGATAATGATCCTATGAAACTACAGCTGACTGTACTTTAATGTTTATCGCTCGCCTAATACAGCGAATTTATAGTTGTCTATAAGTTTTTTAAAGAACCTTTAAGGCGATGACAGACATTGCGACACAAACTTCCCTTAGTCACCACATCCAGTTTTTTCCTTGTCACATGTCGCCGTGGGCCACCTGACGTTGTCTCGTGTTGGCCACACTTATACACGCCATGTGGTCCTGTAATATCGGAAACCATTACTTTTGATAAATTATTTAAATTGTGTCACGCGACTCTCATTTGTTTTAACTTCATATCAATAGTTTGAGATAGATTTTTAAATTATTCAAACACTAAGAGTAAGGGTACTAACATACTGCTGTTTTTACCGCGTGGTTTTTTCTGTGCAATTTTAAAACATAGAGAGATATGTGTCCTTAATACACTTGGATATACTTGTACAATTAGGATCCACATATGTATTCAGATTATTTTTAATCTACGTTTTAGGAAGTCTAAAGAGATTTCTTTCAGAGTTAAGTCCACTTTTGGTTCCTTGCTCACAGTATTTGTAACTATCTTATGTACGTAATTCACAAGTGTAAAATAAAGAATATTAAAAATATCAATAAATTTACAGAGATTATTAGGATAAAAACGAAATACCATTATTATAGACTAAATACTATTGAGTTATTGCCTAATCACTATATGACCGGAATTATTATTAATGTACTACATGTACTAGATATGAACCTAGTATGGTCAGGGTATGTACTAAAGAGAGCTTTTGGATATTTCTATTTCCCTGAATGAAAATGGATTTTGGATAACAATACCTGCTCTATTGCTAGTAGTACTTTTATTTTTTTGAAACTTAGTGAAAAATAGTCTGTAGGTTTAGAAAAAAAAAGTGGACGAATGTTCCATATCTTTCATTGGGCTTATACATTACATGTTGTAAACAGCAATTTATTATTAAAAAATATAATGTATAGACTCGACCTTTTATAGATTAATATGTTATGTAAAAAGTCGAGTCATTTATTCATATATGGATGAGTACAGCTATTTACATAGCGACCATAGACAAGTTCTACTTAGTACCATTAAATTAGATATATTGACATGTCGAAAAAATAAAATAACTGTTATTATTCCTAGTTTAGCAAAATTAGTAACATACAGTAAGGTGGTGACGATGCACCTGCGAAGCGCATGCGCCAAGCCTATAATGATGTCGATAGTGCACTTGTTTTAAATTGCAGACGGCCACCTGTGAAAACCATAATGAATTGCTAACTAACTGATTAATGTTCATTTTACAATTTCAATTTATGTACAATATATTTAAAAAATATCCATCGATGTATAAAAATCTCCAGATGTTCTTACAACCACAGGCTAAAAGCGGTGCTGGAAATATAGCGCATTCAACTAAATTATGCATTCATTTTTCACCATTCAGTAATATTTTTTAACAAATATTAATACTATCAAATAATATTTTTTTTATAAATTTTATAAAATTGTTACGTTTCAATACAGAAATTCATATTTGGGTGAGGATTTATAACATCTAAAACCTCAGGAATAGCAACGTGTGAGGGATACCACAATGTATTCTGAGGTTTCCACGATGTTATTAAGTCTATAGGCGATGGTACTTTCCATCAGGTGGCCTCAGTTTGCCATGTTTGTGTATCATACCAAGTCGTATATAAAAAAGCGCTGCTGTTGCTATTATACGGCACGCTCCTGTTGTTCCATTATAATTTAATTTGCAATCATCTCTCGTAATATTAAAAAAAAAATACTATTGTTGTTGCAGGTGCTGTGGCATCTTGACATATTCCGTCGCAGTTTCCGCGAGCTCACCGGCCACGCTTGCCTCGGCCCATCGTGCATTTTTTGCGCTCTCAAAGTAAGTACAATTACTGATCTTTATTGTTTGCACCTGTCATCACTTTTAAGGGATGTTTACACAAAATGTACTTGTATAGTGAGTTGCCAAGTATGAACTAGCGTTGCGCAGTTTATCTTATATTTTTATATTCTTTTGCTACATGTATTTTTCGTTCAAACTGAACCGACGTTATTTAATTATTTCTAGACGCTTGCTGATTCTTGATGGCAGATTATTATTTTACCACGATTATTGCATTGCAATCTAAGTCGAGGTTTACAGAGAGCTAGTTCACAATCGGCGTGTCTGTATGTGTGTGTGTTAACACATTTGGTGTGAACACTCTCTTATCTCTGTGTTTGTCAATTTTATTCAAAGTAACACATAAAATAGTTCCCATTGTCGTATTTAAGATTATTTCTTAGGGGGCCAGGCTTGTCTGATAAATTAAAATGTACTAGTACTGTGGGTACTACTGTCGAGCTATGACTACATATTTTTAGTACCTATCTACATGTAAATCGTGACATTGTAAATATCTACAATACTGTGTATACATATATAATTTATAGGAAAATAGTGCTAAAATTTTCTGTTATACTTAAAAGTGATATCTGCCTATACATGTAACTTATACATTTACGTGTTATGTTTTTCTTTTTATGTATGTACTTGTGATTTTCAATGTTTTAAGTTGTTGGTAGATTTATAAATAAATATCTTTTTAGAGATATCTTTGCTCGTAGCTGAAAGCTCAGCTTTTGATCCTGGGATGAACACCAGACGATTCTGTGGTAGATACGGTACATCCTGCCTCCTCTATATAGAGTATATAACTAGTTATAAATTTGATATCTTCAATTTTTTTTATACAACTTAGAATGGCAAACAAGCTGACGGCCCACCCGATGAAAACTGGTAACCGTCACCTATAGACATGAGCAGTACCATGGACATAACAGAGTATACTGTTTCGCCCATGATACCCCCCATGCGTTGCCATTCCTGAGGACTCAGGTGTTATTCCTCTGTACCCAGTAAATTCACGCCATATCCCATCCTTCAAACCGAAACACAGCCATGCAAACACAACTGCTTCACGGTAGAAACACGAATGGGACAGAGGTACCCAAGTAATAATAAAGTAATGCAACTAAATTATTTATTATTGTACTATGTGATATGAAAAAAAAGACAAATATTGTCTATTGTATGCCTCACAAAATTTTCTATTTACATTTCGACCCAAAACAACGAAGAGTCCAAAGCTCACAATAGCTCGTTGACCATAGCCAAACGACGCGGCGACGATGTGCTCGACAAAGAGAAAGAACAACAGTGACCTCGCTCGGCGAGGTTCAGGCATGACCTTTTACGAACAATGGTCAGTCAGTCCGCCGTCTTATTCAAATCCTCTGGCCCGAACTTTCGACACGTCCAAAATGAATAGACATTTATAATGCTAAATTTACTCGTATTTTCATTCGACCGACTTTTAAAATTAAAAAGTTCCCAATTTAACTCTGATTTTGGGAGTTACGTATGTACGTGACGTACGTTATCTTACCTATTTTGATTCGTTTTAATGATCCTTTTTTAATCGTAGGTGTTTACTCCTGAGCTAATACTGATTTTACTAAGCGATTCACGAAAACATTTATTTCAGTATAAGACTTATACCTATTTTACTAAGATTAATATTCTATTTAATACTAACATTTTAATTACGTTTTTTTTTAGAAAATAAAAGCTATTTAGCATTGCTTGATATGTATAAAATACTTTTGTTAGTTTTTTTATACCACTGAGGTAGCAAACAAGCATGCGCCCCACCTGATGGTAAACGGTTACCTTATCCTATGATCGCCTGCATTATCAGGGGTATTACGCGCGCGTTGCCGACCCTGAAGAAATCTCTTTACCCCCCTTTTGAAGAACCCCATGCTGTAGTCTGCTGTCATGCTGAGAAAACATCGGCAGTGAGCTCGAGCAGGAGTTTAATCCTATTAAGTTTACAAATGCAAAATTTTGTAAGGATAGTTTCAAATACCTTTCCAATATGTTACTCTTTTATATAAAAACTACTAAATAGATTTAAATGAAATTTAGTACATGGATAAGTTATAACCTAACAACCGAGTTGCATATAGCATACTGCATACTGCATATAGCAAAACATGGCATATAGGTACTAATTAACGTGGGTAAAGTTGCTGAAAATAATTAGTTGTAAAATATAGAAATGTATGAAGAGCATTATTGACAGAACAATATATCTATTCTCTGATGTACAAATCTCCATGTTTATATTATATCCCATTAAATACATAAAGTTTTTTTTTTATGGGTGAAAATGGAATGGTAACCCCCTGCCTACGCTTACGAGATACGCTGACGGAGTACCAGTGAAGGGCGATAAATGAGAATGAAAACAGGCCAGTTAGCTCATCATGATGAATTCATCAGGAATTAACCATGATTGTTTCCAGGGTGAACCGGTGCATTGCAAGCAATGGGGCTATCAAACTCCATTGTTAACAATCTCTTTCCCCTAATACATAAAGTTTACAATATTTTCTGGGTAGGACAAATTGTTATTATAAATTGATTATCTATTGATATTTATTAGGTAATATAAATTTTGTAGCTTAATAAATACAGGTACTACATTATGACATCATCTACAATTATACTAATATTAGAAACGGAAATATGTCATTATTTGTAATGGATATACTCAATAACTACTCTTACTTACTTTTAATATCTTTTTCGCCTACAAAAAGCTACATTATCAGCAAGTAAATTCATGGGCTATACCTATATTATTTTTCTGAATTCTATCTACCTATGCGAAGCCGTGCTGAAAACAAAAACACAACTGTAGACTGTATGCATGTTTAATGCTTTCTCATCACGATATAAGGATATTAATTTCATATTTCGCTATCTACGGTGTTAAAAATGCATGAAATATGCCAAGTTCTCGGCAAAAGAAATTATTACAGAACATTTTCAAGCTTAAAATAGCTACTTTATTACGTAAATCTCGCTTTACTTCGCGAGCATCGAGGTTTAATCCACTGGATATACTGGTTCTGTGAAACGAGACAAGTCTGAGCTCGGTTGATTTTGTGATTTAGCTAGCTAGCTTTACTAAGACACGGTATTGTATAACGTTAGTGGGCTCTTTTTTACCCATTTTTATTGATATCTAACTAAAGTAAATTGTAGATATTTTGTAAATCAAACTATATTCAGTTAAAATTTAAGATCGCTTTGAATGCTTGGCATATTAAATTGTCTAATATTAGAAATGTTTTAATGTTATTATAGGCACTTACATTAAATCATGTCTCAGTATCATATCTAAGCTCAAGGCCCGAAAATCAAAAGGTTCTCATTGCTTATGAAACGACTTTCTACTCGATATGATCAACACCCACACATAGGCACTGAATACGCGCACGTGTTCACGCGATGCCACTTCAGAACCCGTTTGAATTTGGCGCCATTTTTAACCAACCAGAAGCGCTCGTGCCGCGCGCGTAAGTTCGTAGAACTCGTGTCCTCGATTCTGATTGGTTAGCCGGTATAGTACTCGTGAGCGAGTCGTGAGACTCGACCCGCGCCAAACGCAAAACTTACCTATTTTAATATAGGATGTAGAGCTTCTATTTATATTTTCTATAAGTATTGTTAATATTTTTAATATTTAGCTAAACTTAGATAATGTAAACTAGAAATTTTTACTTTCGGTCCAAATATTTAAATAAACCTTTTAAGGTAGGAATCTTTATAATAAATTCCCTAGTAAAGTTCATTGAGACACCTAGTTAGTGTTACAAAGTCAGTATACAATCTTTAGTAAACTAGATATATCTGGAGACTTTTGTGAATAATAAAAACTTTTTTAAATTTATTGTCTGAGACAATAGATGTGAATAGCATAAAATATACATAATTTCATAACATGATATCCGTTCGCCCACGATAGCACTTTATGACAGTCAAGTAGCCTACCTATATAGATGGGTAATTAGTTCGTGGGTGAAAAATTTGACTAATCTTCATGATGTAGATACGAGTACCATTCAATTTAGAATCTCTTATGCATGTTATTATCTTCGTTTACTTTATTGGTACATTAACACACTCACATTTAAGTTATTATATTAAATATTGACTATTGTTATTTAAATGTATGCGTTGTCTAGACTTTAATAATGTTTTTTACAATGCCGTTTAATACGAACTTGGCTTATCTTCCAAATTAGCATTTTTCATTAACATTCACGGGTAGCTGCGTTTAAAATTAAATTTCGGAGCGAGACAAGCGAATCAAACTTTAGGAATAGGTACTTAAGATTAACCAAAATATAAAGCTCCCACAAGTCTTTTTCATATTTTCGCACTTTGTAGACTTTGTCGATGTAGACAGGGTCTGTTAATTTTGGTCACAAACCTAGTTCCGGAACAGCGGAGAGTAAATTGAGATGTACTGTAAGCAAGCAATAACTATGGGACACGGATGAGAAGACGTATTGCTGGTACGGTAATTGATTTATTGAATCTAAGAGAGCATTGTAAATATTGGCTGAATAGTTAAGTTGAGAATATTTTTTTACATCTTTTTTACTTGAAAGCTTTAGATTTTATCAGCATTATCATATCCTATTAAACTTTTAATTTTACATAACTCATGATATTACAATGAACTTCTAATGAATTCAATACCGAAGGGTATCATTGGCACAGAAATATTTTGTAATGCCCGTATGCGATGTTGAATGTTGAAATTTGTTACTTCAGCTAATCAGATACATACGTACTTAGAAACAGCCACGTTTCAAACAGTAAACAAAATATGTCGATAGTCTAATAGTCTGCCTATTAGATAGTCTAATAGTATGCGTATTATGTACCAAGAGAAACAGTACCCTCGTGGATTGAATGGTAAATAAGTCGACTTGAGATACAAGCATTTTTGGGGAGATAGATCCCATCTTACGTGTACG